AATACACTAACAACTTTAGTGCACTGAGCCCATAATACGTAAAGCAACACTGAGTACTGGCAGTGTGCCGTAGAATATTAAAAGTCCACACCTTCTCATTGGTGAATTCCCACCGAGATCATACCTTTTATTCGTGTCTACCTTTCCCTAGTATTGACCAATTCAACACTCTAAGGTAGTTTAACATTTATAAACCTCCCTTAAACGGTTCCTTAGCCTATCTAAGGTACCTTACTTAATTACACTTCCTTAAGTGCAACTTCTATTCTTTATGATTACAATACATGCAACAAATCTTGTTTCCATGAAAACATTGTTGTTAAACAATTAGAAAACATATTTGCAATATAATCAAAGTAGTACCCCATAACCCCTTATAAAGCACATTTAATCTTTTAAAACATGTAATGCATGATAGCTAGTAATATTTATTCAAAAATAGCTAAAATAAAGTAACAAGAAATATAAATTCCCCTGTTACCTCAACCCTTTGGTATCAAAAGGGTTCCTCTTATATAAAATAGGACTCAGCTTGTTCCTTAACTTCCGAACAAATTCCACCAACAATCCCTACAACATATAAGTGATCCACATCACTTATCATGACAAATAGCATTTAACTTCTGAACAAATTCCACCAACAATCCCTACAACATATAAGTGATCCACATCACTTATCATGACAAATAATATTAATGAAGACTATAACTCATATCACACAACTTGGGTCAATGAGTTATAATCCATCCTAATGGTCCGTATATTAAACCAACCATTCACATAGTATCATTTAACCACCAAAACCATTTATTAGCCATCACTAGGCTAATTTTTTATTTATATAATTTTTAATCAATTAAAAACATTCACTTAGTGTCACCAATTTTCATCATTAGCCCTTATAATGAAACCAAACCTTAATTTAAATCTTATTGGGCTCAAATAGCAAAATTATAACTAAATCAATAAGCTTAAACCATTGAGGAGTAAAACCCAATCTCTCAGGGTTTAATTTGTGCCTAAAACACCTCTTTTTATCTAATTATCCACTCAAAACATTAGAGCACCGCATAAAAACTCAAAACAACCTTCCAAGGAAACTAAAGTTTACAAGAATAAAGCCTTTTTGATCAAATTTCAGAAATTTTCTCTTTCAAAATTGAAGAAAACAAAGAGGGAGGAAAGAGAATTGAAGAAGGGAGTTTACCTATAGTGTAGCCAAGCTCGCAACGACCACAAAGCCTTCAAAATTCGAGTCTAACTTCCCTCTCTTCCTTTCTCTCTCACTCTCTTGTCTGTTCTCTCTCTCGCACGCTCTTTGTTCTTTTCCTTTGTTTCATTTCTGTGTTCAGTTTCTGTTTTTAAAAAAGCTGATATAAGACTTTGGAAAAAATTATAAGAAAGGACCCAATATTTTTTATTATAGCACAAAAGCACGGGTCAACTTTGGTAATTTTTTTCATAGTTAAAAATAAAATAAAACCCAACTTTTGCTTAGTAAAATTCAAACTTTAGACCTCTATTAAATTATTCTTAATTTTAATTTAATTATAGATATTTTATTTTATTTTTTTAAAATAAATCCGAATCTTAAAATTTTGAGATGTTACATTACTCATTTGGATGTTGTTGATTTCTTTGCTGATCTTGATGGAAGAATTGGTCACCTGAATAGGGATGGAAATGTCTAGAAATGAATTTCTTAGATATTGATGTTGTTAAGTGTCATTTTAGTTTTCTTGCATTGGAATAAAAAATTTACTAATAATGTTTTTTTAGATAATTTACTTATGATGTTATTTTTCAATAAATAAAGTTTTTATATTCCATGTTTTAATTATATTTTTTATGTTTTTTAATGAAGAATGAGTATTCATCTGATTGGTACCAACGACAATAATGAAGATATGTGTCTCATTAATAGTGCAACAACTCATAAAATACTCAAAAATAAAAAATATTTTTCTTTTTTGGTAATGCAAGAAGCTAATGTTCAAATGATATTTGAAAGTATAAAAATGATTGATAGCTATGGAAGAGTTAATATATTGTTGCCTAAAGGAACTAAATTACACACTGATAGTGCATTTTATTATACTAAGTCTAGTAGAAATTTATTGAGTTTTAAGGATATTCGTAGAAAGGGATATCATATTTAGACAACAAATGAAAAAAATAAAGAATATCTTATTATCACGAATTTAATTTCTGATAAAAAATGCACACTAAAAAAATTACCTACCTTTTCCTCTAGCTTGTATTACACATTTATTAATACAATTGAAATATATGCTGTTGTAAATCAAAAGTTTACAAATGGTAATAAATTCAATATTTGGCATGACCGTTTAGGCCATCCTAGGTCAATTATGATAATTGAAAAATCATATGAACATTCATTGAAAAGTCAATAAATTTCATAATCTCATGATTTCTCATTCGCTGCATGTTCTAAAGAAAAGTTAATTATTCAATCATCACCAACAAAAATAAAAAGTGAGTTTCTCACATTTCTATAACGCATACAAGGTGATATTTATGGGCCTGTACACCCATCATGCGGACCATTTAAGTACTTTATGGTTTTAATTGATACATCAACAAAATAGTCGCATGTTTGCTTGTTATCTTCTCGTAACCTGACGTTTGCGAGATTGCTTGCTCAACTTATTAGATTAAGAGCACACTTTCCTAATTATCCTATTAAGGAAATACGTCTAGATAATGTTGGTGAATTTACTTCACAAGCTTTTAATGAATATTGTATGTCTCTTAAAATTGATGTTAAACATCATATAACACTTTTTCATATAGAAAATGGACTTGCAGAATCACTAATTAAATGCTTACAATTAATTACATGACCATTACTTATGCGACTAATATCCAAATTTCTACTGGGGGACATGCAATTTTACATGCAGTGTCATTAATTCATATCAAGCTAACAAGTTATCTTAAAAGCTTCCCTTTAGAATTAGTTTTAAGTCAGGAACATAATATTTCCCATCTAAGAATTTTTGAATGTGTAGTATATGTTCTAATTGCTCCACCACAACGTACTAAGATGGGTCATCAAATAAGGATGGGAATATATGTTGGGTATGAATCTCCATCTATAATGAAATATTTAGAACCATCAATAGGAGATTTATTTACTGCTGGATTTGCTAATTGTCATTTTGATGAATCAGTTTTCCTAACATTAGAAAGAGAAAATAAGTAGTTGGAAAAAGAAATTAGTTGAAATAAATTATTATTATCTTATTTTGATCCTCATACAAAGCAATGTGAATTAGAAATTCAAAAGATAATTTATTTATGAAAATTAAAAAATCAATTGCCAAATGCATTTATTGACCCAAAAAAAGTAACTAATCACATATTCCAGCTGCTAATGCTCCAAGTAAAATTAATGTCTTAGTTAGACAGCCTATTATTGCAAATGCTTCTAAAGTATGCATAAAACATGAAAGGCCCATTGGTTCCAAGGATAAAAATCCTCAAAAAAGAAAAGGAGCTAGAAACACAGATAATCAAATCGAGGATAATCAAGAAGAGTTAGTAACTCATGAAAAGTCACTTGACACTACTAATATTTTAATTCTAGAAGAAACTCAGGTACCTAAAATGTGTAAAAATAATGAAATCTCAATAAATTATGTTATGAATGAAATACGAGGGGACTGAAATGAAGTCAATGTTGATGATATTTTTGAATATAATTTAGCGCTTGATGTAATGAATGATAATAAGGATCAAAGTGCATTAATGAATGCAAACAAAGAGAGGATTAGCTAAAATGGAAAGACGCAATTGAGGCAAAATTAAAATAACTTAAAAAGCAAAATGTTTTTGGACCTATGGTCTATACACCTGAAGGTGTTAAGCCGATTGGATATAAATGAGTTTTTGTGCGAAAAGTTAATGAAAATGGTGAAATTGTAAGATATAAGGCACGGCTTGTGGCAAAAAGATTTACAGAAAGACCTAAAATTGATTTTGTTGAAACATACTCACCAGTGGTGGATGCAACTACTTTTTGATATTTAATTAGCCTAGCAATAAGTGAAGGATTGTATTTGTGTCTAATGAATGTTGTTACAGCCTATTTGTATGGTTAACACAATAGTGACATTTACATGAAACTCTGTGAAGGATTCAAATTGTCAGAAACATACAATTCAAATTTTCAAGAAAATTATTCGATCAAGTTAAATAAATTCTTATATGGATTGAAACAATCAGGGCATATATGGTATAATCGACTTAGTGAATATTTGTTGAAAGAAAGATATACATTTGTCCTTGTATTTTTATGAAAAGATCTAGAAAAGAGCTTGCTATAATTATTGTTTATGTTGATAACTTAAATATCATTGAAACACCTGACAAGCTTTCAAAAGTTATAAATTGCTTAAAGAAAGAATTTGAAATGAAAGACTTGAGCAGAACAAAATTTTACCTTGAATTACAAATGAAATGTATGAATAATAAAAATTTTCTATATCAAAAAACTTATTAAAAAAAAGTCTTGAAACGATTTTATATAAATAGATCACATCGATTATTTACCCCAATGATTGTAAGATCATTAAAAGTAAATAAAAATCCTTTTAAACCTCAAAAAAGTAATAAAAAACTACTAGATCCAAAAATATCATATCTTAATACAATTGAAGCATTAATGCATCTCACTAGTCACACGTGCCAATATCTTTATTTTTTAGTAGCCTAATTTTATAACAATCATTTTATTTTTGTCTTTATTTTTTTTTTCATCCATTTCATTTCATTCCTTTCTATCATCCAGACCTAAATAATTTGTTTATCCAAATCAATTTAATCATTGTATCGGATAAGCTATGAATCCATGTCATACACCAATTGGAACATTCATTTCACAACAAACACAGACATAATGCATAGACCTTGTTTTCTAATCTTCCAATAGTTTTCAGCCTGTGTAACCACAAAATTGCATAAAAATAATATATTAATTGAAATCAATAACCAAGTACCATTATGATATTAATCTTCAAAATCATGCAGTGTAAGAATCCACGCATTATGAAGTTACAGTGACAACAAATTCAGTCGCAGTCACCAACACTGGGCCACATACAAAAGGATGTTGGTCTAACAAACTGAATACAAATGCAATAATAAATAAAAGTGAACTACAGAAACGCATCCTTCTCAAGTAGCTTAACGACTTCATTTTGACTGTTGAGTTTTGCAACATCTATGGGAGTTTTACCGTCCATATTCTGGAGAGTACTGCAAATAAGACAACAAATAGAAAACCATGTATAATAGACAAGTAGAGTTAAATCAAAAAAATTAGGGACAATGACAAATAAGGTTCTCAAAAGAAAATTATTGTTGAGTTAGAATCTCTTCACAACTAAAATTTCTAAATTCAATATTTCTTCTTCCATGTTTCAATACTAAAATCTTAAATATATATATATATATATATCTTGATTTGGCATTAATCTTCTCACGAAGTCCTTACTTATCATTCCTCCATCAAATCATTCAGGGAAACAATTATCCATGAAATAGGTTTGGAAGACAGCAAGAGAAAGTGCAAATAATCTTATAGATGGGCTACTTACACTGCAGCACCGTTTTCAAGGAGAAGAGCCACGCATTCCTTCCGGCCGTAACCTGCAGCATAATGAAGAGCCGTGTTCTTATTCTTATCCAAAGCATCCACTTTCGCCCCAGCCTCAATAAGAACTTGCGCACACTTCACCTGAAATAATATCAAGTTCAGTCATCTACAAAAACCCAAAATCCATCCATTTCTCAATAAAACGAGAAAGAGCCTTGTCAATTTCTTAATAAACTAACAAAGATGGGATTTGCTTTTGCTAGAACACAGCTACATGATGGCTGCTCCGTGAATAAGGGGAAAGGTTTAAATTGCAGCTATCGCTACAGTTGCATCGTGGTTACTGAGATTACAGGTGTCGTGAATGCTGCAAACGCAAGTCATGGTCGTGGTTGTTCTAAGTTGCATAAAATAGCATGCAAACATCGATATATGCATGCAGGCATATATCATAGCTTTCATACACACACCATATATTTCAATAGACGGGAATTGTACATATTTATTGATATATTATAGCTTCAAGATTTCTCTAGATGTTTAATGTTCAATACCACTTGTCAGTTTAACTATTTTCATAATAATCAAGACATTCTAAAATTCTTATTATTCCTCAACAAGGTTGACAACAATAGAGGATACAGTCAAGAGTAGGAATTTTGTTAAGGAATAATGTTTAAAAATGGAAAACCTTGCCAATCATCTAACTTCCATCATATTTCCAAGTCCATGATAAAACAACATAACAAATCCAGCGAAAAGCAGAAGCATGTCTAGGTAGAAAAGATGCGTATTTGAATTGAATATTTATGTAGCATACCTCACCATACCCACAGGCAAAATGCAAAGCTGTTCTCCCCTCTGAATCTTCTTCATCCTTGTCAGCGCCAGAGGCTAGTGCATTTTTCAAGCCCTGATAGATGAAGCATGAAATTTTTAAGACCTTCCCAATTAATATAAAGGAACTAAACATAGTCACTGAATTCAACAAAGGGAGAACTAGAGATGGAAGTCTAGCAACCAAATCAAAACAATGAGATGAGGAAACAATGTCTCAATCATTTTACTTTTCTACTCGTTCCAAGTATATGAGCCAAATAGCAAATAGAACATCGTTGTTTTGAGCTCAAAGTTAAGTTCTCCAGCCAGGAGAGAATGATGGAGGGTGAAATAAAAGGAAAAATAAAAAATTATCTGTGAATCAGGAATTATAGATGAATATAATGAAAACACTCAGATCTGAATTCTTCTTCACCTACGAAAATTTGATGTTTATCTCAGCTGTCCTACCTGAATTATATATTAGATATAATCAAAATAATCTGATCTAAACTAAACAATGTGACTAAAAAAGACAACAGAGTAAGATACCTAGCAAGTGGGGAAAAAATAACCGCATTAAAATTTAAAAGTATTAGATAGCTACTGGGCCCCATGGGCTTTATCAGCCAAAAATACTTCCCATCAAGTTGGAGAATAGATGTTGCAAATTCCCAACTTGCCACCAAGTTCTTCAAATCTTACTCTTGGAAGAGCTTTAGTCAAAAGGTTTGCAACCTGAGCTAGGGAGATAGTATTGGTTAGAACAATCATCCCTGATTCAATCTTCTCCTTTATAACATGTTTATCAATCTCTACGTGCCCAGTCCTATCATAATGAATAGTAGTCTTGGAGACTGCCGAGGCTGCTAGGTTATCACACCACAATTCCATTGGAAAGGTGTGTGAATCCTTAGTTCTTTGTAACAATCTAAGAATCCACATCCCCTCACAAATTCCCAACAGTGCTCTGAAGTTGGCTTTAGCACTACTTCTTGCTACTACAAGTTGCTTCTTGCTCCTCCAAATAACAAAGTTACCCAATCAAACGTGTAGTAGCCAACAATAGACCTTTCCCACACAAATCCTGCCCGTTCAGTAAGCATCCACATACTGCTTCCATTGCAAAGAACAATCCTCCACAGGGGAGTATCCTTAGTTACCTCAAGTTTCTATATACTGCTTCCACAGGCTAATGTGATATGTTCATAAACTGACTTGCCACTCAGAAAACTAATATCTGGCCTTCTGGCATGTATCCAATCTTGCTAGTTGCCTCCATAGGTGTTTTAGCAGGCTTGGCACCCAACATCCCAGTTTACCTCAGCAGGTCTAGGTATATTTCCTCTGAGAATTGAGAAATAACAGTCCCTCACTAGTTCTTGCCACTTCCATACCCATACAGTATAACAGATTGCTCAAGTCCATCTCAAATTCTGCCACTAGTAACTTCTTTAAGCTCTAAATCTCATCCAAATCATAAGTAGTGTGGATTAGAAATTGCTACCTGACATGCCTTTGGCAACTTTTTCATCAAAGGTTAGTCACAAATACTTGAATTCTAGGTGATAATTTCTCATAAGAGGTAAACTTACTAATGGATGTCTACTGCAGGACCTTACTGCTTTCCTCAGTGCAATAGGCTAGGCAAGATCTTCAGAATTTGGAACAAAGTCAGAATTTCTGGCTTTGCTTGGAAAGGTAATAGCCCAACCATCTTGAGGCTGCTAAACTCTACCTCACCTCTTCTAGAGTAAGACTTCAAAATTACCCAAGCCCTGTGGGTGTGGTCATCTATAAATATGCAAGGCCATTTTGCACTGAATCTCACTTTCAATCACATCATGCATGGAAGAATTATTGCTAGTAAACTCTCGTCAACTTTTTCATCATCAATGCCCCCCTTACAGGTATTGACTGCTGCAATGGTACAATTATGCCTCTAAAAAATTCAAATTTCAGTTTCCTCCCTCGTGCTGACAGCATCATAGCCTGACCCAGGCTTGTGACATATACAAATGCTTGAAAAAATGGACAATGACTAAGGAATGAAACTAATTGAACGCCCCCAAGTGTTTTCAAGTCCAGCAATTTCAGAATTTCATTGAAAAAGGTCAAATATTCATTTTTAGCTATCCAAGCAACTTGAGCAACAGAATGTTAGCAACTATGAAACTCTTTATGCCTTCAACTAATGGTTTATAAAGATTATGCTTAATAAGATCTAAACCAAAAGTCCCAAGAAGTCAAGAACAACTCTCCCTCCCAGAAAAATTAATTCCTTCTGCTACTTGTCTTTATCTGTTCTTTCAGGCTGATCTGCCACTAACAGCAAATCAGTCCTATTTGTTGATTGTTTTCCATGTTGCTAACCCCAAAGATTATTGAAACTGATGAATGCATCCACAACGCCTCAAAATGCAAGATCAAAGAAACTGAAGGCGTGGCATGTATCAGGTACAAAGTGGGTCTGAGTTGTTTGGCTTAGTGAACAAGGGTTTGTCTCCCCGCCACAATTACCATAAGAAGATTCCCATACTGCAACACATAAAATCACTCAACTTCTTTCTATGCACAGCCACCTGCCCCATTTTCCTTCCTTTGCAGTATATTTCTTTCTCCATTGTTTATCCAAGACATCATACCATGGCCAAAACCAGCCCCCATCTCAACTTTTCCACTTGGCTTACTCATCATTGTTGCCAAAAACGAGGACACCCATTTCCCTATTTTACGATGCATTAAAAATATCAGGGATCTGAATTCTTATTCTAAGATTCTTGTTCATTCTAGAATAAGAGGGATACATATTAATTATTAGGTCTATTTAAGCAATCCTAGCCGAATTCAATATAATCTGATAAGAACTAAAGTGAAATAGCAACTAAAGTTATATAGCTGATAGGCATACGGGTCTATATGAATCAGCAACACATAAAAATTAGGATTTTTAATAGCTTGTAACATTTTGATATCCTTTATTTAAATAGTCTGTTAGGATTTTACTTAATTAGTTTAAGGTAGGGCTTTCCTAGTATCTTGGAATTTCAGTTTAAATTTAAATTTCTTTATCGTTATGTCGTATTTATATTTCAATGCACCCTACAGCCTAGGGACTCTACATAAAGCACCTACCAACACCAATTAGTTCAATTCAGTAGCAATCAATAGAAGTTCAGTTACTCATTAATAAATGTTTTATCTTGTGTGAGATTTCCTTCCTCTAGTTTCTTGCTTTTGGTCCTATCTCACGCACCTGTTCCAATATCAAATCCACAAATAGCATAACAACCCATTTCTCATTTCTCTAAATCATCTCAACAACATCAACTGCCAACCATGATATAAAATTGTATAATATCTGTTTTCGAGAATAGGCACACAAAAATTGTGATGTGCCTTACCTCAACATCACCAACACTAGCTGTTTGATGAACTATTGATTCATCTTCATTTCCCACGTCTTCTGTTTCATCTTGCCCAGAATTTTCAGCAGAAGGAGCAGCATCTCCAGAAACAGCAAGGCCCATTGCTTGTCCCAACTTACGCAAAACCTCCTCATCATTCCAGTATCTAAAAGAAAAGCAATGTTAATATTATAATAGAGATCTCAATCCATGAAACTATGAAGACAAAATACAATAATGTTTCGTCTCTAAACCTCATCATAGCAGTAGGACCACCACTCTCTATCTCTTCTAAGATGTGTTTCAATGATGGATCTTCCTTAATGCGTGCCATTCTCTCCTCCAGCTGATCTTTATTTGATGGGTTCGAAAAACTTTCAAGCATGGAAGACATAGCAGGGTCCTGAGGTAAATAGCATACAATTTTTATTAACCAGTAGATAGGTCACTTGGCAGACAGGATAGAAGGGACAAATTCATTAATACCTGCATTAATGCATTACCCAAGCGCTCAGCCATGGTCATAAAATTAGGATTATGCATAACCTGTTGCAAGGTTGCCATGTATTGTTGATTATCGAAGTTAGGAATGCTTTCTTGAGTTGCTGCACCTTGGAAAGTTTTCTGCAGCTGCTCAGCCATTTGATTGAATGCAGGATCTTTGGCAATCTGTTCAGCCAAATCCTTGATGCTTGGATCCTAAACGTACAATCAAGGTTCCATTAAATCTCTACAAACAAATACTATGATTCTTTAGATAACAAATTCAACTAAAATTGAAACATCAGACAAAATCATCCCCCCTCAGTTAATGATAAAACGGAAAAAATGAAGCCATAATTCAGACCATATGAGTTGTTGGAAAGCAATCAAACGTTTCTCCAGTTTCCTCAATTAAATTCTTCCATGTAATTCGTTTGATGAAATCAAGGATTATGAAGAAGATTTATGCCATGGGAAAACAAAGTATCTGCTACAAACTAATCTATAAAGAACAAGCATGATTTATGTAGAAATGACCACTATTTTGTTCTATTGTAACAACGGTAGGAACAACCCAAAGGAAATAAAAAAAATCTCCTTGTCTGCTCACTTCCAAAAGAGAAAATCTCCATAAAGATTAATAATTATAATTCCATGAAAATATCAGCATTGCAGCCCAATGATAGACATCAAATCTGATCCAACACCAAACGCATGCATGCATGTCAAACATATCACCAATAAGACGGCTGCCTTATCAATAAATACAGTAGACATGATGCATATATGACAGCAATCAGAGGAAATGAGACAAAATGATATACATTAAGCAGGCCAGTCATTGCTGAGAAATCAAAGGGGTTGGGCGGGAACCCAGTTGCTGGTGCAGAGGTAGCTCTTGTTTGTCCTGATTGCTGCTCTTCAGATACAGTTGCTGGTGCAGAGGCAGTTCTTGATTGTCCTGACTGCTGCTCTTCAGAGGATGATTCATTTTTGGAACTTTTGTTCTCTGTTGAACCAGCTTTGTCATCTAAGAAATATTTCGCATGAATAAAACTAACACTTTCAAGCTTCAAGAACCCAAAGCTATCATTCTCAGATTGTCACAGCATTAGCAAGAAAACACAACAAGGCATTTCACCACAAAAAAAGGACAAAAACAACATAAATAAATACCAAGGAAACAATTTCCAACTAACAGACAACAAATAGAAACTCCAAGAAAGGGCATGTAACATGTGAATCCAAACGTCAAGAACCAAAAGAAATTGTACTCAATTGCTCAGACTATAAGTAAGAAACATAAATTATAGGGCATATACAATACGGACATGTAGTAAGGATACAATGTGCCAAATTGCCATAAACAGATTACAAATAGCAATTCCAAGAATTGCCTCGCTCTACAATAGTCAAGGGCACATGCTTAAATAAGGAGCACCACCATGCATTCTTAAGAAAATCATAAAAGAAAGAACAATATAATGTCACTTTAAGTATTGTGTGAGTCCATGGGCCTGCCACTCCATCTTGAGTTAACATGAAAAGATTATTTAAATCTAGTTTATCATTTAGTAGGCCTGTAAATAGTGGGCAAAGTAACATTCAATTACTGGTGAGAACAGAGAGGCACTGAAGGAAGGAGTAGAGCTGGCAACAAGCAGCATGGAATAAAATAGACTAGACTGGGAGAAATCAACAGGCTTAGAACTCGAGGTATAACAAACTTGGCCTTAAAACCTCCTTATTATAATATTGGATGAGAGACATATAGTAAAATAATATCTGAATATCTTTTAAACCACTCTTTAATCATATTTTAATACAATTTCTTCAATTCTAATCAATTCTTTCCTATAAAATTAAAATAACTGAAGAGGATGAAATAACAGAAAATATCCTTTGACTTTCCCAACACTGTCCCTCAAGAGTTAGTTTTCTCACACTACCATCTCGTAAATACTAGAACTAGAGAAACAAACACATGACCCTCTAAAGAAAGCCTAGGCAACTAACACTCCTCAGAAAGACAGCTCTTAGAAATGCTCAACTATAGCAACCCCTTTGACATTAATCTGTCAGTTCTCATTCTAACAGTTCTTTAATTTGTTGAAGTCCCTTAGCCTTCAAATCTGTTATTTGATAGCAGTTCTTTGACATTAATCTGGCTATTCTCATTCGAACATTCTAGTTGTATCAAAATCAGCCTTCGAAACTTTTTTTAATTACTCACAGCTATCCTTCTATTAGAGGCAATCATGTTCGAAGCACGATTGGTTATTAAATGTAAGCACCTCTCACAACAAGGCTTCAAACCTAAATTTGAAAGACTAGCTCCCTTCACAAGACCCAACCCCCATTGGTGCCTCTGTAACATTTTATTTACACCAAAAGATAAGTAGATTAGTAGACTAGGGGAAAGACTAGATGGAGAAAAACTGTCGATGTTATCATTACTCAACAATTTCTAATAAAATATTTCTCATTCTTAACTTTCCTAGTAGGAATGAAGGAAAGGAATTCCTTTTTCCCCCTTAATTATTTTAATGTTATTATATCCTAACAACTATTATTCACCACTTACCATTCTTTTATACAGCTATTTCAAGAAAGGGCATGAAGGTCATAAGTTATAGCAGAAGGTGGTCACTCACTTCAACAGACTATTGTTGAGGTTTTTATTTATTCTCTCCAAAACAAGTCAAAATTTTGGACTTGACGAAAAGAGCAAATGTTTTCATATTCTCACTCCTACTCAGTAAAACTTATAAAGAATCAGATCCTATAATCCTAGCGAAACGTTAAGCAAGATAACAGGATCATAAAACAGAATTTCAATTTATCAAACTTTAGATTTGGAGGTGGTATGATTAACAACTATGTCAGAGATTTACAGATAGATTGGAAAGCTCTTTTGTGCTGACGTATACTATTCATCCTTTTCCCATTTTTCTCCTGTTGTTTGGAGAAAATGATCAACACAAAGGACCAGTCAAAGGCAGCTCACCTTAATGCCTACAGCAACAAGAAGCCTCAACACCTCTTGCTGGCTGAAGCAAGGGGCCTTCCTCTGAGCTCCCCTCTGGCAGGACCATAGGCACACTTCTACTAGGTTTATTTTACATCGACTTTTAGCCCTAACAACCCTACCCAAATAATCACACAATCAGGTTAACTATTTCAAAGTGAAAGACGTACCTAAGCATAGGAGGAAAAACATAAATCCCAGCTTAACAACCCCTATGTGATACAGAAGAGCAGGCATCCACTTCAACAGATGGCTATGAGGTGCATAAACCTCATGTGAACATTACAGACTTCTAAAATACTAGAACGGACGAATAACCCAGTAACATATTCGATTTTTTCTTTATCCCCTTTTTTCTTTGCCAATCATTACTGCATCTACTCCTACGAGCTGCTTCAAACAAGATATCTCGTTGATTCATCAAGAATTAAAAATCATAATATATACAGGCAAATCCTATGATAAACCTGAAATCCCCTTGACAAAGAAAACAAATAAATCAACCCATACGAAGAGGATACGAACAAGCCGAGAAACCCATTTAGAAAAGAAAAGAAAGAAAGAACACATACCAGCAGGCAGATCTTTTTGCGAATTTGAAGCCATAGGAAAGAGCTGAAACGGGAAGAGATATTCAAGTTATTAAATCGTAAATTACAAAGAATCGACGAAGATGTAAGAAAATCGGAATTTGAATCCTCACGAGAGATAGTGAGCAAGCAATCTCAGTGTACAGAGAAACCAAATGACGGCAGGGATGAGTGACGAAAGAAATCCAGAAGATAAACCGAGACTGGGGTCCAAAGCGGTGGATCAAATAAAAAGGAAGGTATAGTATAGTGAAATGAACTGCGCTGATCTGTGCAGGGTGTATTTTAGAGAATTACAAAAATAAAAATAAATATAAAATCAGTGGGGCCCGTAATCCTCATCCACTGAAATGAATGGCTTATTGGCTATTAGCATTACCGATATCGTGTGAGACCCATTCGCGGCCCTTACGGTACGAGTCTTTGGTACTTCGATGGTTTGCCCTTTTTTCATGCGAAGATGGCAAGTAGATCCCAAAAAAAAGTTAATTTAAGTTACGGCCTGGTATCAAAGTTTAAAAATTTATAATTCAACCTTTTGACAATTATATTATGATTAATTTATAATTTATTTTTAAAATTTTAATATATTTAAAAAATAAAAAAATTATTTTTTTATTAAAATTTAAAATGTAAGTTATAATTCATCACAATAGAACTTTAAAATTAAGAGATTAAATTATAAATTTTTAAAATTTAACATTTAAAATCTAACTTAAATTAATTAATTTTTTTTAAAATCTCTTTATTATTCTTCCTTTTTTCATAAGAAGGTAAAAGTAACAAATGCAACAAAATTACGAAAAACAATTGTGATTGAAACTCTTCTAGGTAGAGACAATTGTGATGAAAATTATTTTTTTTTACCAGCTTAATGAAAATTAAATTATCATTATATGTTTAGATCAACTAAATTATCAGTTTACCAACGTAATGAAAATTTTGATGCAAGCAAGCACATCAAAGGGAATAAAATTTTTGTAAACCCGTATTAATTTTTTCATGACAACAAAAGCAGAGCACGAAAAGAAGTGGTAATTCCAGAAGACTTATATTGAGATAAGGGAGTCTGCTTGTGATTATGTTAATCAGTATGGTGATTGGGATATTGACAAGTTGAGACTTTGATTTCAACCTAAAACTATTGCCAATATGGCTCATGCTCATCCACCCAATGAGAAGAGAGGAGAGAATAAATATTTTTAAAAACCATCTATTGATGGTTGCTTTACTGTTAAATTTGCTTATAACTTTGTTACCATAGGTATTAGAAACAACATGGATAACATTTGGAAAATCCTTTGGAAATAGCCAATTACGAAAAAGATTTAGGATTTCTGTTTTTAAAAACTGTTTTCTATTTTTAAAAATAAAAAACTCATTTAGATAATTATTTTAAATTTAATTGTTTTCAATATAATTCTTATTTTTTGTTTTAAAAAAAAACAATATAAACATCTTAAAATTGTTTTCGTTTTATTTTTTGTGTTTTCTTAATATTTCATTTGATTATTGGAAAATGCAGTTTGTTTGACCAATTTATATTATAAAACTTTAGCATTAACCACCTACAACCATCACCATCTACCTATTTTTTAATTCCAAAACTATTTTTAAATTAACATAACCAAATAAATTTTTATTTTGTTTTTTTTTAAACCAATTCTAAAAACTACATTATAAAACAGTTTTTAAGAATAAAAAAAATGAGATCAGAAACCAAATAAGCTCCAAATCTTTCATGTGGCTCTATGCTCATGGAGGACACATGCCATGAATTCAGGGTGAAGAGAGGCCTCACTGTGGATTAGAATTGTTCCTATGGATGCGAGATGCTCAAGCATTCTATGCACTTACTCAAATTATGCCAACAAGCAAGAGAACGATGGAGAGCTGTCGTTTAAGAAGACAACTAGAATATGTTTACAAGCCTTCAAGGAGCTGACTAGGCGAAGTGGAACCTGACCAATGATGTCAGTCGGAGCTATACCAGGAAGATTACTTGGGCAACTTTGGGTATATTTGTTGGGACATTTGGGTGTATAGATTGTTTATACTAGAAGGAATACAAAAAGCTACAAGGGCAATTAGGTCTTTTCTCTCAAAATATTATTTAGATAGGTGCTACAGTGATATTTCAAATTTTTTTTTAGGGTCAATTTAATATTAAAACACTATAGTAGTCCTTAGATGATATTTTCGCTGTAAAGAAAGCACGAAACCAGTAAGCATAGAATAGATAATGAAAGAGCAGCACAGCCTCTACACGAGGAAGAGAACACAAAAGGACAACACAGACAAAAGACGAAACTATAGAATATAGAAAACTCAGTGTAGGTCAACCTCCTCGTCCTTGCTCAATGATAACAGACAAGACAGAAGTGTAGCATGTTAAAGATCCAGGGTCTAACAAGCTTAACATACAAAACTTTAAGGGTGAAATTCCAATAAATAAAACAATAAAAGCCTGATTAAAAATCGAAGCAAACTATAAAGGCCCAATTCCAATTCCACTGCAACAACCACTACTCTTTCTTACTTATTCAACTTCCTTCAAAAACCCATCCAAGATACCAAGGAGGGCATAATAATTAATTCCCATGAATTGTTTTGACTGAATTTTTGGTTTCATACCAAAGGAACAATTGATGTATTATTACAATCCTTTATCTTAATTTCATTGGTATTTGCAAAGCTTATTCTGAAGTACCAACTTTTCAACTTCACTGAATGAGTCAAAAACATCATGAACAGGAAGACTGAGTGAAATTCAAAACCTGATTTAGTTCCACTAGCTTGTACAAAACAAAATTCTGCTTCTGCACGTAGGCACCAAAAAGATTTCAAAACGTAATCATAGTCACTAAATATATACAGACATGATGGCAAGGTCTTGACAAGGAGTAAAGTGGTGTCTAATGCTTCCTTTGCTGGTTTACCAACTAATTTGAGGAGCAATCCTTTGCCCAATGTCCAGCCTGGTTACATTTGTAACAAGTGTTGTTCGATGCAGCAGATCTTTGCCCCCCTGCAGGAGCATTCAGTGGGGCCATGGTACAATCTTTTGCCCAATGCCCTTCCTTGCCACATCTGAAACATGCTGAACGGCTTCCTGAATCAGAGCTTAGTTTGCTTTTCTCTCTCATATTGTAATTGCCCTTGTAGGGACTGGCTGATACAGCATCTCCAACGGAAAGCTCATTGCACCACTTGAAGAAACCACAAGAATCAGCCTACATAAACAAATGCAATGAAATGATTATGACTGTGTTATTTTCCAGAAAACACTCTTAAAAGAACATTTATAAAATGAGAGGGGGGAAAATACTGCCATATGGAAAAGAAAGAAAACTTTGATCTAGCACCAACATAGGTTGAGTAAGGTCAAAAATGATAAACCAGACAAGAAAAGAACAAGAAAAGAGAGAGACAATTTCCATCGATACCATCATTAAATTTCAGATCGCTACATAACCCAACTAACAGTTACAAACAGCTGTCAATGCCAGCTACATCTGTTACTAGAAAATTTCTAGGAGAGCCTTATGACTTTGCACAATTATAACTTAACACCCTATGTTTCAATTATCAACATAAAATGATTCAACAGCTTTGCTGTACCCGTAGACTCAAAAAGAACATTTATAAAATGAGGAAAAAAAATACCCCCATATGGAAAAGAACAAGATTTTGATCTAGCACTAACTTTGGTTGAGTAAGGTTAAAAATATGATAAACCAGACTTTTGGTCCTGTGTCAATCTGCCGTGTTCTTCCGGTTCTCTCATAGAAGCTTGCGATTGGAAGGAAAAGAATAAGAAAACAGGAAGACAAATTCCATTGATACCATCATCAGATTTCAGAATGCTATACAAGCCAACTATTACAAACAGCTGCCACTGCTAACTACGTCTGTTACAAGAAATTTTCAAGGAAAGCCTTGTGACTTTGCAAGATTGTAACTTAACACAGTGTTTCAATTATCAATATAAAATGATTCAACAGCCTTGTTGTGCTAGATGAATCAACAGAACTGATTTAAAAAGAGAAAATGGATCCTATCTTACATCAGGAACGTCAACTTATAGACAATTAGCACACCATGTAAGCATTAAACACAGTAAGAATTCACGAGAGCAATAAAAGAAATGCAAAACATCGTGGAATCCTATAATATTTGCCACCTCTAAGAGACATTGATTTTCTACTGTTTATTGCAAAGAGCAACATGGTACCCAAACTCTCAATTAAATCACTGTATAATGACTTTTATCAGATTTTTAAATGCACTCTATATTTTATGCACTCTATAGTTTCTTGACTTAGAACTACTCAATTTCTATAATTCCTTAACTCAATAATCTTCATGGACTAAGTTGTAATAAATCAAAGTTTCTGAATTAAATTGATAATTGAGAAGAAGTTCAATGACTAAAAGTTTTATTTTCCCTAGATAATATTATCGCTGAACTTGGTTGTTTATCAGATTATGAAAATATGCATACATGTTGCATAATTATTTGGCTAAGAAATATTTGAAGTTATGCATCTGACAATAAAACAATATTATCTGTATCTTTAGTTGGAAATTGATATTTTAAGGCAGAGATATTATAAAAGCAACATGTAATGAACACAAAGCTAAAAATAAGCTAAGTATAGAGAGGGCGAAAAGGTATTACCTGGTTTCTTGGACAGCGATAAAATTGTTGGCCATAATTTTTACCACTTTTGGCTGTTAGAATCAGGCAAGCTCCAGCACCACAAGGACAGTGAATAGATTGAAACAATGAATCAGGCACTGAACTTTGGTTGCCCCCAGAAGTCATTCTAGTTCCAACAGCATTGTCACACCATTCAAAGAAGCCACAGCCCCCACTCTCCTGTGAAATTGTTCATGTAAAAAAAAAAAAAAAAAAAGAGAGCATAATTTTCCCTTTATTGACCAGATAAAATTTTGAGGTGCCAAAAACCTTCCATGGAAATCAAAACCAGCACTAGCACGTAAAAGAATTTCAAAATTTGTTGGCAAAAAATACATTTTAAACTGTGTAAGTTACACCGGTTCATTCAGGCTCTTGATTTAAGAATAGCATATCATAAAGGTAGCTGAGCGCTAGAGCTATAAAGGGAAATAGGTAGGATACTGAGGGAAGAATAGAAGAGAAAAAGATCCACAATCAGAATAAATTCCCATTAGCTTCAATCTATTCTGAACTGCATAGTTGTCCCCTTCTTCCCGCGTCATTTATTTATCCACTTTCCAGTATATAACACAGAAAAAAGCCCGAAAGGTTGATGCATCCGACTATGCAATTTTTTTTTTTTTTTAATTAGAGGGGCAAGGCACTCACAGCCTAAGGCTACAAGTGGAATAGAACCCACGACCATGCAACATTTAGATGCTCTAATATTCATTTACAAGTGTTTTTAAAGACTATCATTCTCCTGTGTACCAACACACACACACACACACACACACAAACCCCACGAGGTTTAATACATGTCTGAAGAGGATCTCCTAAAGCATAACTCAACTGAGGTGAACAGGAAAAAAATAGAGAAATGCGTGTCTCACTTCATGCCATGTGGATCTTACATTAATGGGGCCTGCCTCGCTCTTTAATTCAGGTCAACCGAGAGGAAATGAATAGCAGAAATTTATTTGCAACGCAATTATAATCTCGAAAGAAACTTTTAATTTAATGTAATTTCCACTTAAGATTATTCCAAGGAATTCAACTAAGTTAATGAATACCCAAACTCACCTCTCTGACAGGGCACTTGTAAAACTTGCGACCTCGATTTTTCTCCGTGTTGGCCGTCAAGATCAAACAAGTTCCCATTCCACAGGGGCAAGCTTTATCGACTACGTCAGCGTCCTTCCCAAAATCACTAATATGCCCTCCACCATGTGCTCCAGGTGCCGATTCCACACAGTCGCGAGCCCAGTGACCTGACCTTCCACATTTGAAGCAGGAGCCGCCGGCACCCACCGGAGCCGGAGCGCCGTCATTTCTTCCTTTGGCTGCTGCAGTGGCGGGAAAGCTATTGCTTCCCTTCAAAGCAGCGGTGTATAGTCCTTCCTCAGCGGCGCGAAGAAGCTTCGGGCGTTTGTTAGAGACGAAGTCGGCCTCCACCGCCGCTAGCTGTGATAGGAATTCGTCGTCCTCAATTTCGACAGTGACGTTGTTAGGTCGTCCGATCTTTTTCATCTTCACGTTCTGCATTTTGAAAATTTCAGATTTCAAATGTGTCTATTTCGTTCGCGCTTCCAGGCCAGCTTCGCTCGCCTTCTCACCTTCTCACCTTCCCTACCCTTCTATTATCGCATATTTCCTTTTAATACTCTCTTGCGCTTGTCATTGATCACTGCCAACTCTCTTATTTTAAAAGTACATAAAAAATTATTAATATCTAAAAATAAAATATATTTTTAGTTTAACCCCATTTAAATAAAAAAATTTAAAATTTGAGTTTAAATAGGAATAGAATTGAAAAAATATAATTAATATTACATCAAATATCTTATATTAAGGATTAAAGAATTGTTTATGAATTTAAAAAAAAAAATTCAAGGAAACACTTTATAATAGAGATTGGAGGGGGTATCGTTTAACTATCATAAATATTTGGACAAGTGAATACCATGACATCACGGCCTCTAAGAATTTCATGTCATGGTTAATGTCATTATACCCTATATAGCTCTCAAGTGAAGGGTTTTTTAATTTTTTTTATTTTATTGCTCACATGTAACCTTCTATTGATGATATTTCTATTTAAGACACAGTTATACACTGAATGTAGACACTTCTTCTCACTAGAGTTAGTCATTTGGGTTAAGTTCGATGGGCTAGTTTGAATCCACTCAAAAAAATTCAAGGCTAGGCTTAAAAAAGGATATTTTTTATTTTTGGGCCTGACAAAATTCAGGCTAAGCCCGATCGAGTTCTAGATTAGCTCCAATACCTGAATAAAAAATTATATTTTTTTAAAAAAATATAAACATATAATAAATATTAATTAATTATTTAAATTTTAAATTATTTTATACTAATATATCATATATTTGAGTCATATACATCATTTAAGTATCCAAAAAGTAAATGTTATATTTTTATAAAATAAAAAATTTTAAAAATAAAATTTGGGTATTCAGGTTGGGCTTGGCTATCAAGGATTTTTAAAGAGCCGGCCCTGTTCAAGTTTGGGTTTATTCGAGCCGAGTTCGAATAAGCCTAGCTTACCCGAATTCCTAGCTCTTCCCAATAGGAATTTGAACCTTGGTTTTCTAATATTTATACTAAAATACCATAATAATTAATTTTGGGTTTTTTAATATTTATAGGCACAAAATATAATTCAAGGTATAATCTAATCTACTAAGCCACCTGTGCACCTCCAACATAAATCCTGAGAAGTCAAAACTAACTCCTTCCTAGAGTCAACCTAACTTACTCTCCATATAAGGGCTATTTTGGCCTAGGCAAACCTCACACTTCTCATATCGGATCCCCTCCTCCACCGAGAGGTGTCAAACACTCAATCGACTAACCCTTTTAATGAACTGAGCCCACAAATAGGTACTGTAATATTGAGTACTAGCAGTAAGTCATAGAATATCACAATATCACATCTCCTTATTGGTGAACTCCCACCAAGATTATGCCTCCTACTATTTTCCTACATTCTTTGAGTATTGTCTACTTTAACATTTTAAGGCAGTATAATACTTATAATTCCTCCTTTAAGTGGTTTCTTGGCCTATTTAAGGGACTTAATCTAGTTGCACTTCCCTAAGTGCAAATCCTCGTTTCTATGATCACAATGCATGCTAATAATCTCATTTTCATAAATAACATCATTATTAAATAGATGGTAAACATAGATGCATTATTATCAAATAATACCCTATAAACCCTTTTAAAACATATTTATTTGCATTCAATTGTTTAAAACATATAATGTATGTTAGATAATATTATCTATTCAAAAATAGTTAAACAAAGCAATAAGAAATATAAATTTCTCTATTACATCAACCCTTTTATACGAAAAGGGTTTTTACTTGTGTAAAAATAAGACTTCGGACTTGGCTTATTCATTATCCTCCAATTAAATTTCACCAACAATTCCCTACAACATATAAGTGATCCACACCACTTATCATGGCAAATAGCATAAAAGAAGACTATAACTCATACCATACAACTTGGGTCAATAAGCCATAATCCATCCTAATAGTCTATATATTAAACTAACTATTCTTATAATATTGCTTAACCATCAAAACCATTTAGTAGCCACCATTAGGCCTATCTTCAAACCATACAATTTTTAATCAACCAAAAACCTTCATTTAAGATTACCCATGTAACATCTCAAAAATTTAACCTTCAACAATTAAGTAACTAAGCATCATTAATAGAATTTATATGGTGTGTGGTTAGAGGAGAATAATAAGTTTTTTTGTTGGAATTTCATGTATAATTTTGGTCCAAAGTGAAATTGGATCATTTGGGGATCAAAAAGTAGAGAAAAATAAGTAGAAAAGCATGTATGCCACATGTCGCGGGGCGTGCATGGTGTGCCACGGTGCATAAAGCCATAAGGAAAGAAACTGTCTTCTTTGTACCATATGTTGCGGTATGTGGGGACAAGCACCGTGACGCATGATGCGAATTCTATAAAAATAAGTTGTGAACTGATGTGAAAAACAAAAGGGAAGAAAAGGGAAACGGAGGAAACTTGCATTTGCTCCGCTAGGGCACGATCTAAGGGAGGATTTGAGAAGGTTTGAAGCTTCAAATTATCCAAGGTAGGATTCCTAAACCCTTTTTTCTCCCTTTCTCTTTCAATTTCTTAAGGATTTGAGTTAGGGTTTGAATGAAGATAATGATTTTGGTCCATATAGGTTATGGGTCTAAACCCATTGACCCAAATAGAGTTAATAGGAGTTGTTTAGAGTATTTAAACCTAATATTAATGATTTTGGTGGTTGTTAGATGGTAAGTTCTATTAATGTCTGAAAATGGACATTAAATCTATCATTATTATGGTTGTTGAGGTATTAATAACAATGTGGGTATTTAATGAAGCCATATAATGTTAAAGATAGATAATAACCTAATAGGTAGGCCTAAATGTAAACAATGTAGGCATTAGGTAATCTAAAAAGGGAAGATTAGGGTTGAAATGTATGAGATTAGCAATATTAATGAAAGTTAACTTGGTAAATTGTAGATGGAGCTCTTAGACACTATTTGACTTAGGAATTCAAGCTTAGGAGCTATAATATTGAAAGGTAAACCTTTGACCTCTCAAAGGTTTGAGGTAACCGAGGGAACCTTATTTTGGGTAGTTATTTATTAATTGTAATATGAGGTGAATTATGTGTTAAACATATAAATTGTGATTTGGAATGGTGTAACATGCAATGAAACTGGTAATTATCTAATTGATTTTATGTATATGAAACATATGAAAAATGCTTATGAAGTGATTGGCAATTTGATAATGTGGTGTGGAATGAGTAATTGATAATGAGATTAATGAAGTGAATATATGAGATTGAAAATGATAAGTTTAGTGTGATATAATTGAAAATAAGAATTGATACTCACTTAGGTAGCTTGATCGTGAACCTAACATGTGATTGTGATAAACAATAAATGAACATGTGAAAATGAGTGAGCATCATTTATGGCATGATCAGTAGACGAGAGTTTACCTAGGGATTAGGAGTAGAGAAAAGTTCATATGGTATTTAGGCTACTCTTCAGTACATGAGGGTATAGCCTTATCCCACACTTCGTCGAGGGACTGTCCTATAGTTTGTCGAGGGACTAGAACCTAGCTTTCTCTACCAGTTCAACGAGAAGAATAACTTAGGATATGAGACATCCTAGAGATTCGAGAGTGAGGGAAGCCGTGGTCTGAGAGTAAGGAAAGCTGTGGTCTGAGAGTGAGTCATATAATTTTTGACTAAGTCACACCTCACAATTTGTGAGCTTGGGTAAAGTGAAAGATGAAGATTTGCTTTTTGCTATCCACTACAAGACATAAGGCCAGCAAACTCTAGAAACCCAAACAACCCCCTTAACTTTTCATGTGGTTCAAAAACTAAGAAATATGATTGCATACTCTTGAGAAAAACATGGATGGTTGATTTAGATTGCAATAAACCTTATCTCTTTATTATATTTTTGCGCCTCGTTATTATGTGGAAAATGCATGTAACCAAGTTGAGTTAATACTCACTAAACATAGAGGATGAAGTTGGAGTTCTTGGCCTAAAGAAGAAAAGGCAAAAACTAAAAAGGAAGGTAAAGGTTTAATTTTAATAAGAATATGTGAGTGGCATGTGACAAGCAAGGAAGACATTGAAGAGTGGAAGAGAACAAAGAGTGCTAGCAACTCTAGATTCTATGAAGAGTTAGGAGAAGATGTTGAATTAACTAAATTATGAACTCAAGTGGTCACTTCTCATTGGCAACTACTCTACATCTTCCCTTTAGTTTCTTTCTATATTGAAAATTTTCTCCATTTAAATCTTAAGTTGTAATAATTTTAGACAAATATATATCTACACTTGTATACAAGTGTACTCATATGCAAAACCTAAAATTGTTGTAGTCTTAATGCATACATGCAGCCAAAACATTTGCAATTAATATTTCATGGATTCAAGTTTATATTTTGATAGTTTGGGAAAATGCATGAATGTTGAGAAAAAGTTTATGTCAGTTTGATTATAATTAAACATTAAGAAAAACAAAAGAACCTTTAGGATTGATGATATAGTAGGAGCTAATAATCTGTTGATATTCTTGACATAATTGCTACATCCTAAAATCTTTTTGAAAGAGCTTGGGATCTATAGCTTTTAATTAGATGATTAAATGTTGCTTTTAGAGGCCGGTAATGTAGGTATTGTTAACTTCATTTTGGCTTCTCTTATTCCATCTTCTCCTCATTTCTCTCCTCTTCCTTCATCTAATCTTAATAAAACTATTACTTATGATATATCATATATTTGTAGAATGAAGAAGATGGAAAGAAGTTGGATTCGAAACTTGTAATGTACAAAAACAAGGGAAACAGGGAAGTGGTAAATATGAACCACTAATTTTTATTGCTTTTAATCTTTTCTTGTCTATGGATAATCATGCACTCTTGCAAACAGGGGAACCATTCTTTGTTGTGAAATTGCAATTAATGATTCAGCAATATAACATGATTTTTTTAGGAAATTATGTGAGTTAAATGGCAAAACTCATAATAAGAACCTG